ACATGTGGCACCAAGATCTTAGTTTCTAAAAAAATACCATTTCCCACTAAAAAAGGAACCAGAGAAATGGCTGACTCAACAGCTGGGAAGTGGAAGATACAAGTTTAAAACAACAAGTATATATATATATATACATATATATATACACACATTTTTTTTAAGTGATCGAATATATTCATTCACTATAAGGTCTATTCAACATTATCTTATTTGGAAATAAGGGGAAATCTTCACTTTTAAGTACTGTTTACTATAAAATTTTTAATAAACATTTATGCCTGGAAAAAAAAAAAACTTCTTGTGATGGAAAAGAAGTGCTACCCAAGGCCAACTTAGGACACTGAGCAGTGACAAAGTTTCGTAACAGGTTCTGACACATGTTATAAAATAGGAATCCATGGCCCGGGATTTAGCTCAGTGGTTCCGGCACCTGCCTCGCAAGCGCAAGGTCCCAAGTTCGATCCCTGGTACCAAAAAAAAAAAAAAATTATACTACACCTGTATAGAAGAAATAGGAATCCATGAATCCAAACTGATCATAAATAAGGACATACAAGCACAGGAATAAAAGAAGGGCTATTTCTTGTAGCAAGAATCATCAACAGATGCCAAATCTAGGGGTGAGGTGAGGTTTGATGAAAATCTGAGTATCTGCATGATCCTCAAGTATCTCCCCACAGATAGCTTATTAGTTGCAAGGGAAAAAATATTAACTATGTACTGAATAAACTGATATTAAACTATGTACTAAATACTAAATAAAATATTAACTATGTACTGAATAACTATGTCCTGAATAACAACCTATGTACTGAATAAATAAATAATAAACCAATTTGGATAAGTTGATCAAAATTAACCACTAATAAGAGTCAGATGGACAGTGGGCTCCTCAATGTATCTTCTAAAAGACACCTTTATATAGTGTCCCAGCCAGAAATGTATCACCTGAATTTCATAAGGACCCATCAGAAAGTCAAAGTGAAGAACATTTCATAAGGTAAGCAGCCTGTATTCTTCAAAAACGCTGAAGGTATGTTACAAATTAAAGGACTTTAGGAGACAAGGTAACTAAATTCCATAGGTGATGCTGAACTGGATCCTGTTCTGAGAAAAACAAATGCAGTAAAAGACAGCATGTGAACAGCTCAATGAGAATGTGGGCTACAGGTTAAAGTTCTGTATCACTGTTACACCTCTCATGTTTAATAAATATAGTATGGCTACAGAAGAGAATGCCTTTGTTTTTAGTAAATATACACTTAAGTATTATTGTATATGTGGCAGGATGTATGCAACTTACATATTTCAGAATAAATCTGCACAAATAATAAAACAAATTGGGCAAATGTTAAGTTCTCACTGCTGTTCTCACAACTTTTCTGTAAGTCAATTAATTTCAATAATGATAACCCAGTAGACAAAATAATTGTGTCTTCTCCATATAACACTTTCAGTTTATGTTGATTTTAGTTAGCTTTGAGAGCTTGAATTGATAGTTATCGATTTAAGGTTTCGTGAAACCTTCCAACAGAAATAACTGAACATTGAGGAAGGTATGCGGTAACATACACAAATGTTAACACATTATTTATAACAGAAAACATTTCCTTTCCCCACATTCTACTTCATTTCTACCTCCTAAATTCTGTCAAGATACAAATTCCAGATTCAAACCTCTAGTTTAAAACTTTAAAGTCTTTCAAAAGAAACCAATGGCATGTACTGGGCCGGGGATTTAGCTCAGTGGTTCCACCACCGGCCTTGCAAGTGCAAGGTCCCGAGTTCCATACCCGGTACCAAAAAAACAAAAAACAAAAAAATCCACAAAAAAACCCCACAAAGGGCATGTATTAAATATTAAAACATTTGAAATGTTTTATGCTAATTTTAGCTTTGGGAGCTTAAATTGATACTTATTATTACACTTTTGTGAAACTTTCCTACAGAAATAATTGAGCATTGTGGAAGGTATGCTGCAACATACAAGAATGTTTAACACACTATAACAGAAAAATAATGGTGAAAATCTAAAAATCTACCACTAGAGGAACAGTTAAGCAAATTTTTGATACATCCACTCTATAGACATAACACGTTTTAAAAAGAATTTTGTAGTTTCCAACTTCAATGGCTCTACTTAACAACGGTCTGATCTTAAGACGGTGCAAAAGCAACAGGCATTCAGTAGAAATCACACTACAAATTTTGAATTTTTCAACTTTTCCAAGATCCTTAGTCTTAACCCTCTTGCCATGCTGAGCAGTGGAGGCACACCCAGCTCCCAGAAGGCCGCTAGGATCACAGGCTGACAACAGTATATTAATGTTGCTGTGCTGTTTGGTAGGTTAGGAGTTTTGTTTTGTTTCGGTTTGGTTTTTTTAGGTTAGGAGTATTAAATGCATGTTCAATTTACAAATAGTATTATCACAATGTAAATGTATCTTAAGTCAAGGGGCACCGATAAATCCTACCAAGAAAAGGCTAGATACTATACTGTATGATAAAATGTACTGAAAAAGTTGCTGGTATATCTCTCTGTATGAAAAATCAGAATGCCTCACAGGGGGAAGGTCCCGAGTTTGATCCCCGGTACCAAAAAAATCCCAAAAAACAGAATTGTTTTAATGTGTTTATGTATGTGCCCAGAAACAAAAGCCTAAGAGGAAACTGTTACCAGTGATTGACCCTGGAAGAATGAGAGCAAGGGAAAGGCATTATTTAAATTGAATTACTTTCCTGAAAAGCCATGTAGTATTTTCAAAACCAAAAACTGTATTCTTATAGCTAAGACTTAAATGTATTTTGATGAATTATGATTTCGCTGGACAACATGAAATATCTGATATCAGAAATGTTAATATACCCTTATTACTTAGCTATATCAAGCACCTTTGTTTATCAAGTGTCAAGTCTTTCTTCTTTCTTTTTTTTTTGTAGTATTGGAGATTAAACCCGGGCCCTTTCTACAGAGCATTAAGTCACTAAGATGCCCAGGCTGGGCTTGAACTTGTGATCTTCCTGCCTCAGCCTCCCAGTTTGGGGAATAACAAAACTAACAAACCTTTTATGGAGCCGGGTAAGATATCAAATCTAAAATGAAAGACACTGCTTACTTAATAGTAATGAAAATGAAAAAGGAATATCCACACGATGTCTTCAACAAAGTGTACTGAGAATCACTTCAGTTGACAAAGCAAAGTATGAGCTAAACAACGCATTTTCAACTATAAATGTTTATGACAGCTGAGAGGCATAAATAGCTGAACTTTGAACTGCTAACCATCTTGCTATCCATTTTATGAATAGGGAAGATTATCAGCATTCAGGTGTCCTTTTACAGTACTAACGATATAGGCATAGTTGTGTAAGTATCTTGAGAATGAATCTATATGAACACGTAGATCGAAGCATTGTATTGTGGTGATGTAAAACAGTCCTTTGTCAAAAAAACCTTATGAAATTAAAAAAGTTTTTTTTATATTAAATGTAATAATAAAATTAAGGACTAGTTTCTCTGAAATCTAAATTACACCTTTAGGCAATTTGGGTAACTAACCCACCGCTATTTGTACTGTATTTTTAAGTCACATTCAGAGTATAGCTGTAATTAATCAGAGCTAACTCTGATAGGATCATTGTTACATACTTTGATAAGCAATGGTTATACTCACAAGTGACAATTACCACAGACATCGCTTTTATTTATTTTGGTTTATTCTCCTTTGCACATAAGTCAATCTCTACAGTATTAGGAACATTATCATTACAACTGATTATATACATCAATAAGCATATCTTTACTAACAGTGACTCCACGAGTATTTTCAAACTCATTCCCAGGTATGACACATAAAAGGAAACGTCTATGAGAAATACCTTGGCTACGTTGTTTCCTAAGTCAGTGTACTAAAAGACTGTCAATTTTCACTCTTTCAACATTTCCTGACTGTTCCGAGTCTCAGTCTGTGTACTTTCAGCAAGCACAATACATGGTGGAAAAAAACAGCAATTCAAGGAAAATTCAAGTCACCCATAGTAGCTGCTGTGGCTCTAGGCTTGTCACTTAACTAGGCTTGGCCATAGTTACCGAATCTAAAAATGTCAGTGCTTCCTTACCAGGCTAATCCTGAATTATTTTACCAGCAAAAACCAAATCGTCCGTAGTGGTTGTTCCAGGTCAAAGATCTACAATACTCATCCATCAGATTCTCCACGTAATCGTGGCCAAGGAACCACTGAACACGCTAGGAGAATTACACCTCCTAAACTGAGGCCTTGTATTGTCCCTTAAAAGTTGAGAACTCACAGAACGTATTACAAAGACCATGAAAACGTCTTATAAACAGGGGAAAATGAGTGTTTTAGCTCTGTAACATTAAGTACAATAGCAGGGTCTATTTCCTATCAAGGATCCGAGGTTCCACACTACTAGAACACCACGCCTCCCAGAGAAATCCAGGAGACATCAAAAATCCTCCTTAGGGGCAGGGAGAGATCCGGATAAAGTAAGACAACCCCCCCCCCACCCAGCCCTGCTTATTTTTTCTTTCCCTCCAGCTATGCAGCTGCACCCCACAAAGAAACCCTAATTTAGCATCATCTGCATTTCATTCCTTTCTTTTGCAATAGCTACCCGCCTATAATAAACAGATCTGGTGCTCGACGGAGAATTTACTTCCCGGTCCAGTGAAAACGAAGTTCCTAATTTTTACGAAGAACGCCGGCTCTAATCAACACCCACCCTCCCTGGGGAGACGAGGCACGCCTCTCTCCACCACCAGTGGAAAAGCCAGATCCCCCCACACCCTAGAAGTCTCCCCACTTTCAGACCCCTTCTGAGCACGGGTGGCGAGGCCCCCGGGGAGCGCGGAAGAGGCCGGGGTATGGCGTGCAGACCCGGGTTGCCCGGCAAGGACCGCAGGCGCAGGGCTCCCTCGGCCGGCCAGGGAGCTCGCGGAGGCGGAAAGGGGGCCGAGCCCCGCGCCAGCCTCACTCACCCACTTTGTCCTTTCCGTACATGTGCCCGGCCACCTGATGCGAGAGGGGCACGCAGCCGTTAAGAAAACGCAGCCCGCCGCCCGCCGACTGCGGGGTGCCTTCGGGGGCGGCATCGCTCGCCAGTGGGGTCCGCATTTCTGGGGTGCCGGGCGCCTCGAGCCGGAGCGGGGATGGCGGCTCCGTGGCCATAACGGAGAGCAAAGGGGTAGCAGAGGTGGCGACAGCAGGAAAAAATAGGGCAGAGGGAGGGGAAGCCGGGGGTCTCTCAGGCTCGGCGGCGAGGAGGCCCGGGGGTTCCCGCGGCCGGTGCCCGCTGGGGCTCGGGAAGGGGGCCCATGACGCCGCGGAGGCGCGGGCGCTCCCTGCCCAACTCTCGGCGGAGCACGGCTCCCAGCTCCCGCTCGGCGCAGCCCAGAAGACCAAGCCCAGCCGGCAGCAGCGCCCCGCGCTCCCAGGGGCCCGGACGGCGACGGCAGCCCCACCTCCCGCGCCCCCGCCCCCTCCCCCGCCCCTCCCCCTCCCGCCGTCCTCCAGTCCTCGCGGCCGCCGCGCGTCAGCACCGCCCGCCCCGCCGCGAGCTTCCGACTGCGCGACCCGCGCCGCCCGCACTGAGCATGCCCAGAAGCAGCCCGACGGGACCCCCGCGGCGGGGAGCCCGCGGCGCGGCCCAGCCCGGGGGACCACTGGCCTCCAGGAGGCGGCGAGGGTCCTCGTCGCCGCCACCCCGGGGCTGGCCTGACCGACCTGCCATGGGTCATTCCACGCGCGCCTCCGAGCTTCCCGAGGGCGCTCTCGCAGACGCCTAGGGCTCCCGGGTGTGAGGCGCACGCAGGTACTGGGAAAGCTTGGAGTGGGCGAAGGAGCAGAGGGGAGCTCGGAGGCCGCCCCTTCTCTGCCGTCAGCACCCTCCCCGGCACAGAAACAGCAGGCTCCAAAGCACGCTTCAAGTTAGCCCCATCCTCAAGCGCCGACTCCAAACGGATGGGTGCACACCGAGGTCTGCGGAGGTTTGGGGATGAGACTCTGGTTGACTCCTGTGTGCTTTGCCAGTAACATGTGAAAACTGAATCTGGCCTTGGGTAGAATTAGACAAGAATGAGCAAGAAGATTTTAGGCGCTGTCTTAGATATCTGGTTAAGCAAAGTGCCCTACTGACATCCGCCTTTTACGAGCCGAAAGCCACACACCTGGAAGAAATGGAAAACCCGGTCTACATGCCTAGTTCCCAGAGACCCGCCCCTCGGAATTGCGCAGGCTCAGTCGCTGCCTCTAAGTCTTCCTGCTCCCCCGTCTCCTGCGGCTGTCAAAATCCGGACTCTTAGCTTCCTTCAGGCCGGCGACACAGCTTCGCGCATGCTCAGCGTTCACGGGGGTGGATTGCAGCCACGTGCTTCCAGCCCGTCGCGGCGCTTGCGCAGTAGCAACCCGGAGTCGGTGCCCCTAGGACGCTTTTCGTACCTTGACTCCCGCCGTCTGCGCAAGGCCGTTTGTGCTCGGTGACCTGTGCACACGCCTTGCGAGCGTCGGCGCCATGGGTCTGACTTCCAATTCCAGCTTGCGAGGTGAGGGGGAGCCTGGAAGCTCTCGAGGCTTGCGGCCTGCGCACCGGTTACAACGTCCGCAGATCCCTCTAGGCTGTTAACTGCTGTCCTACGCTGCGCCTCGGGTCCTGTAACCTTGAGGTGCCCAAGGGCGCGCTTGCCAGCCCCAGGCTGGACGGGAAAGGGGGCGAGGTCAGGGAGTGGATGAAGGGTGTCACCGGCTAGTGGCGTGAGACCGTGCAGTCCAGCTCTGGTCCGCGGTTTCCCCGACTAGCCAGACCCAAAGACCTAATAATGATCCTGCTGCTGTTTCTCGTTCTCCCCCAAAACGCTTCGGCGTCCTTAAGTCTCAGGACCTGGGGAAAAAATGAAAGATGAAACTAAAAAAAAAAAAAAAATTCTCCCTCATGTTGAAATCAGCGTGGAACCAGAAAGTCAGTTTTCTGCATTCCTGAACAGTGCGTGACTAATCACATCTTAAGGGTTTTGGATTTTTTTTTCTTTTTAAGGTGAAAAAACCCAATCCGAGGTCTTCAGTTTTCCTAGTTTTTATTATTATTATTATTATTATTATTATTATTATTATCTTACTGATATCTGGCATTTGATGGCAGTAATCTTAAGACAGTTAAAAATCAAGTTTCTTGATCCTTAAGCTTTCTCAATCTTCCCTTGTGTTAGTACCTACCATTTGAAAAGAAGCAGTATTTAGCAGAAGGTTCAATTAAAAGAATCTAGAAAATGTGTTTAGTGTGAAGTTTCAGTTTATCGCAATTCTTAGTAATGTTGTAATTCATAATACAATACCGTCTACAAGCTATGTGATATTTGTGCTCTCTCTGCCTAGGTATAAAACGCCACTCCCCCAGGTTTGGTTACCTGTAACTGTAGTTGAGTAGAGGTAAAGAGATTGTCCACAAGTTCATTAAAGTTAGCCCCAGCTGATTCAGTAAGTAGTGTTGAACATCTGTAGCGCCAGGTTCGATGAGAAGTTACTGTTAATTTGAGCCTTAATTTTGTAAGAGAAATTCCATAATCTGGAGAGGTCTGCTTCTGTTAACAAAATTTAGTTGACCGAGAACAATGACCTTTCCAAGTTAGCAATGATAAAAAGATGATTATTTGCAAAAATTATTTAAACTGATAATCATCTTGAGAATTCTTTAAATAGAGCCACATGATGCATTTAAAATAGGAAGTGAGGGCTAAGGATTTAGCTCAGTTGCACTGCACCTGCCTTACAAAGGTCCTGAGTTCAATCCCCAGTAATGGGGGGGGGGGTTAAAATAGGAAGTGATGTTTGTGTTATTTAAACTTTTGGGGGAAATAAGATTATGGAGTAAAATAAAATGGTCATGTCAGTTGTGCCACTGATATTTTAAATTTTACAGGAAGACTGTTCACACATGTATTAATTGTGCCAAAAGACTTCAGAATATGTTTTTGATTAAAATACGGTATTATTTTGTAAATGGTCGCTGAACTCAGGTAGCACACTGTCAAAATATGAAGGAGGTGAACCCTAGACCTTCTTATTGCTGTTTGCAGGGTAATCTTTCCTGCACTTGAGACAAGGTTTTTTGGTTTGGTTTTTTAAATTCCACAATAGGGCAGTTCAAAGGTGACTTTCCTGTTAGTTTATGATTTTCCATGGGGTAGGATATCCATGAAGCATGTTATTAACTAAGTGCTCAACTTTGTTATGTGGAGTAAACTATTTTTTATTTCACTGAAAAGCATAAAGGTTGTTGTGAGGACCACGGGGAGAGGCCCAAAGGTTTCATAAGTCTACGTGAGCACTGTCCTTCTCTAATAGAGCAATAGGCAAGGTAGGAATAGAAAATGTCTGTACAATCTACCTTTTAATGTTTGGGCCTTATAAAAATTTGTTTGTTAATGGAATTTAGTTGGAAGAATAAAACATTTTTCGAAAGAACCAAAAGTTTGATTCTGTTCTTAATTTTTAAAACCTCTTAATCCTAGTGGTTGAAAATCAATTTAGACCTTTTAATTAGGGGAAGATTATCATGTCTCTGCTCAGTTAAATGAATTCATAGTTATAAAGGGCATAGAATGGTTTGTGACAATGTTAAGTACTATCTGTGTTCAATAAAAAGTAAAAAATCACGTGCATGCGGAATTCTTTGTGGAAGGAAAATATAATGGATGAGTTATAAATAAAAATAAACAGATCAGGACTGGACATCAGGAAAGGCAATGAGAATGAATGATTAGTATTGAAATCCTGTCAAAGATCCGTGTCCCTGTAGTAGCTCTGGACACTGATTTAGTTAAAGAGACCATTAGTTCATTGTAATTTCCAGCACTAAATGGCCTTCAATACCCACTTTCCCAGTCTCGTGATTCTTCCTCAGGCCCAGTAGGTGACCTTTCTGAATTCATTGTGCTCCTTAGTGCCTATGCACCCCCTGAGTCTATTCTCATCCTTAACCCCTTCTTTGCTGTTTGCAAGAAAGAGATGAACTCTGAGGCTTTTTCACTCCATATCCTCCAGATAGCATTTTCTTCTGCTTCCTTTAACTCTTGCCTCACTGATACTTGTTACTTTTAAGTCTCTAGACCCTGGTACAGGTTCTCTTCACCCTAAAAGTCACTAATATGTTACCCTCATCTTTAAAATAAATTAGTTTCCTTTCTTAAAATTGGTGCTAGGAATTAAACTCAAGATCTTTGCACTGAGCTACATCCTCGGCCATTTTATTTTTAAGTTTTGTTTTGTTTTTTGAAAGATGGGATCTTGCTAAATTGGTAAATTGCTCAGGCTAAGATTGAATTTAGGATCCTTTTGCCTCAGCTTCCCAGAGTGCTGCGGATTACAGGCATGTGCTGCCATGCTGGACTTTTTTCTTTTTTCTTCTCATCTTTACTGGTTTTTTGTGGTGGTGGTGGTGGTGGTAGTGGTTGTTTATTTTTTTCTCTGTTTTTGAGAGGTAGGGAAGATGGGTCCTCTTATGTTACGCATGTTACACAGGTTGAACTGCTCTCAAACTCCTGGGTTCAAGTAGCCTTGCCACATCAGCCTCCTGATTACAGGAATGTGCCCAAACTACATATTTGAAAAAGATTTCTTAACCTGCCTTTTCCTCGAATCACTTTTTCCATAGTTGGTTTTACCCACAAGTTACAAAACGGATTTATCTGTCCACTTTATATTTTGTTATCTATCCAAAACTCTGACCATTACAATACATGTAACCCAAACTTCATGTCACAAATTTGTATTCTGACTTTTATATCCTTGTGTATTTTATTGAAACTAAGGGATAATTTTTGAGTTCATTTAACCTCAACATACTGATTCAGTAAATTCATTGATCATCAAAAGTCACCATTTAAGGGACTATTTTCTGAGAAGGAATGTATAGATCATACTGAGGAAAAAGCAATAGCTCCCTTGTAGGGTGGGATTTGGAGCTATAGGTGAAAGAAAATTGGCCATCAGGAGGTAATTGTTAGAATTAGGTGAGGGTGAATAAGGGTTTCTTTTCATATTGCCAGTGTGCATGTGTGTGTGTGTGTGTGAAATGGTCCATATTAAAGGCTTGTTTTTGTTTTGTTTTATGTGTTTATTTTTAAGAAGAGGGCAAAAACATTTGGTTTAAGAGCAGTGCAGTGGTAGGGTAGACAGATGGAATTCCAAGTGCAAATTTGTCATCCATTATTTCGTTTTATTCAACTAACAGTTAATGCCATCTGTAAACCAACCCTTGAAAATATCAGACACTGTACTAGTTGTACAAAATCCCTAGGAGGCTCCCCAACCCCCCCTTTCAGAGAAACATTCTGATTCTGTGGCAGTTGATAATGAGTAAGACATGGCAGTTTGGGGCAGTAAAGGGGCTAAAGGAAAAGGTTAAGATTTCTAGTTAAAGCAAAATAATCTTCAGAGTAAAGAAAGTTTGAGGAGTGGGATATATAAGAGGGTATGGAGTTTGGGACCACATCTGTTTTCTCTATCTCTGAACAATTTCAAGAGAGAAAACTACAGATTATATAATAGTAGGCCAAGGGATGAATAAAAGAGGGAGTTAACTTTTCTTTATATTTCTGATCTTTAATGGTATTTGTATAAGTAGCACTGTTAAACAGGCTTAGATGGGGTGGAGTTTGATGTAATTAAAGGAAAAACTGTCTTGAGAAAGGTCTATAGAAAAGAAAAATGAAGCAGAAATAATGCGATTTTGAAGGGTCCCAGTTCTGATCCCATACCTGAAAGATTCCAACTTAAAAAAATTAATCTTAGTGAAATCTCTTTTTAGTAAAATTCTCTAAGAATCACTATTCCTAATAGGCATATAGCTACCAATGATTAGATGTTGTTTGGGTTGTGTATTTTCCTTACTTTCTCAGGTTTTCAGTTCTTTCTCTGTCCCAGTTGTTGATTTTTGATTGTCATCATTTTTGTCTATCTAAGTTTCTTTTTCCTCCTTTTCCCTAGAGTTGCCAGTGGCATCTGTAGCTTTTTGCCAGAAAAGACTGATTCAGGCCACTGTAATGAAATGATAAAATAGCAACATTTTTCTTACTTCTGGGAACTGTTACATTTGTCCCTAATGAGATTAGAGAATTAGAATTTGGAAAGAGAAAAAAATGGAAATTCTTTTCTTAGGACCCTATCTAGCTCTGTGATTCTAAAATACTCATTGGGAGCAACAAAGTTAATTTTTAGCACAAATAATGGTATTATGACCTTTTCTTAGGGTCTCAAGGTATCTGTTTTGAGTCCCTGGGGGGCAGCTACTCTAAGGGTCTACTCCATTTCCATTTCTTTAAATCATTCCTGTAGTGTTGCCTCTTTTCTGTGTCAGTTCTGTCATTTTTTCCACCATTAAAAAAATCCAGAGAAAGTAAAATTTTGTTGGTTTTTTTTTTTTTAAGTCACCATAAGCACTCAGTTGGTAATATGAGAAAAAAAATAAAAGAATGTTTTAACAACTAGGAAAGTTTCTTTTGACTATTATGAGTTTCACATAGAAATTCTGAAAGGTTCTTATTATGAAACAAAGTACGGTGTAACTATGATCAGCATAGAGAATTGTATTAGTCTTTTGAGATACTGGTTCATTTAAGTTTTTACTAAAGACATTCGGCGAACATTACTGAGTATGTACTATGCAAAGCAATGTTTTAGTTCATTTTGTAATGGGTGCATTATTTAAAGTGGCTGTTAGCTAAGAAGTAAATTGCTGTAGCTGCTTACATAGAGAATATTTTCTCAAAGTCCCATGGCAAATAATCCATCAAAAAAGAATATCACAAATCAAGCTGAAAATCACAGCAAAGTTGCAGCCCTCCTTGCCACAACTAAGCTGCACTAAAATTCAAGAAAAATCTACACAAAATGCGTATTTAAAAAACATCCAGCCACGCGTGATAGCACAAGCCAGGCATGGTGATGCATCCCCATATTCCCAGCACTCAGTAGGCTGAGGCAGGAGGATTGCCATACATTCAAGGGCAGCCTGCACTATGCAGAGAGACCTTATCTCAAACCAAAAATACATAAATAAATAATAAAAACATCCTTGAAGGGCATGGTGGTATGCCCCTGTAATCCCAGCACCCTGGAGGCTGAGGCAGGAGGATCACAAGTTTGAGGACAACCTAAACTACAAAGCGAGGTGAAAGCCAGGCTGTACTGCACAGAGAAACCCTGTCTCTGGGGAAAAAAAAAAAAAAAACCTTATATGAGGCTAAAGGTTTGAAGCTCCTGTCAAGTGACTTATTTTCTCAGTTATGTAGTACCTGGGAAGGTCAAGTGTTAATGCTTTTTTTAGGTTACAGCAAAAAGAAATGAAAATGTATGAGAAGGGAAGCACTCTAAATTACTTTTTAAAGAAAGATACTGTAGTTGAAAATAAAACCCACAGAGCATGCTAATTAGAAACAGTTGATAAAAATTAAATTATTAAGTAAACTAGAAGACCGAGATAAAAGGAATTAAGTTTGAGAATAATGATTTTTTCTCTATTAGAATTTTTTCGATTGAGCTCCAGTTTTATGTAAGTCATTATTTGGTATGGTGATCAATCACAGTAGAAAAATAAGAACTTTGACTCAATGGTGCCAATAAGCCATATGGGTAAATATTCATTATGAATTTTTATTTGGCCTTGGAATGTGTTTTTTGTACTTATCTCTCTCTGGGGCTTTATTTGATAGCCTGGGAACTTATTTCAAATGCTGTGAAGATCTGACTTAGGAAGTGCTGGGCAGAAGTCCAGTATGTTTGTCCTGACCCCTGTTCAACTTCTGCCTGCAGCCCACTCCATGCTGGGGATAGACAGCTGTCCTCTGAGGCTGAGGCAACTTTCTTTTCTCCATCATTGCCTGGACCTGGTGTAGTTGTTAAACACTTGAGTTTCTAAAGATTCCTTGAGAAGCTACACCAAAAGAATAAACAAATGGCCTGTTGGTCAAACAAACTTACCACTGTTATTGTTATTATTATGAGAAAGTAGAATAATACCATTAAATTTAAAGTGGAGTTTGTAGGGAATTAAGTAGTCATCCACTTGTGGATAATGGAAGTTTAGAATTTATTAAGAGAATAGTGACAATATATGTATTAATGTTTTATATGAAATTAATATATTCTGATTTTCATTTTAACTAGCACTTTAAAATTTTAAAAACCACTTTTGAATGATTTTGAAATCTAGACTCCTGCAATGTTTACCATTTGAATGTTTAGCATTTAGTGATTTTATCCCCAGCAATGCAACAAAAAAAATGGGAAAAAGAGTTATTTTGTTTTATGTATCCCTTTTTTTCCTTCAGGTACTGTTTTTAGTTGCACTTTATGCGTTGTTAAAATTGAGTTTTGGTAACTTAAAATATTTTAAAATCACTAACAGACCTTACTATTTAAATGAACTTTGATGTCATTTTGTTAACATAATCACCTGATTTTTTTTGTATCATTTGTAACACAAATTTTTATTTTTTAGTGATTTTGCTTTTTCTGTTAACCAATAAATAATTGCAGTCTCATTGAACACTTTTTAAAGATTATTAAGCCTTGTTTTTCCTTCTCTTAGAGAACAGCAAATAACCTTTGTTTCTCTCCTCTAGCTGTCATTTCCTCCTTTAGCTGTCATCACTCAATAAAAATTATACAACTACCATAAGGGACAGGGAAAGTCTTAACAAAGGCCTGTTATTACTCCAGTGTGTTCTGGTCATTTTGTTAACATTAAAAATCTTTGACTGTTAGACTGCTTAATATTCAAAAACTGGATTTCCTGAACATTTGTGTTAGATTGTTAGTATGTATTTTGAGGGGTTTTTTTCCCTTTTTTTTTTCTTTTGCTTTTTTAAAAATTCTTTTTTCTGTATTTTGGTTTTGATAATTACTGTTCTTTTCCTTCCCTACCATAGTTGAATGGATTGCAGCAGTTACCATCGCAGCTGGGACAGCTGCAATTGGATACCTAGCTTACAAAAGATTCTGTGTTAAAGATCATCTCAGTAAGTCTATGGTGAACCTTCACATCCAGAAAGACAACCCCAAAGTAGTACATGCCTTTGACATGGAGGATTTGGGAGAAAAAGCTGTGTACTGCCGTTGTTGGAGGTCCAAAAAGGTGAGGAAAAGAAATCTTTCAGCAATGCCATTTTTAATATTTCTTTCTACACCATTTTATCAAATTTGTATTTTCAGATGTTGTTGAGATATCCCTTTTTATTATCATCCTATTCCCTTAAGAATACATTTACTAAAACCACTATTTAGTAAAATTACATCATGCCGTCCATTGAGTTTAGGTAAATTTAACCATGCTCCTGTCGAAAGGAGACAGAAGAATGTCTAATTTATTCTTAGGATTTCCTCCTTGAGTGAATTTTAGCTTCTGCTATCCTAGGAAATGGGAGTGACTGTACCCAAAGATAAACAAACGATGTCAAGTCTTTTGTGTTTTTTTTTCAAACTCGGTATCAGGACAGTTTTTAGAAATTTCAAAAGAAACTGTGAAAATCACCCTTAGATTTCTTATTGGCAAACATCCTAAGCCACCTTTCATCTACAGCTCCTATACATAAATAGTTCTTATTTTCTTATGAGTATTATATTTTACGAAGTTTATTATGGATGTATCACCTATGATCCTTTAGACATTAGGAGGCTGATGATCTAAAATGGCAGAATCCTCCCCCAAGGATCAACTTGAAAGAACTTACACACTGAGTTCAGAATGACTGGTGTACTGAGAAATGCTTTGTAAAGACTGTGTGTACAGCCGTTAATAACATTCAGATAAAATGGATTTCACCAAGAAATGATACTAAAATGTGTAAAAAAAAAAAAACAAGTGCTGTATCTGGGCTAGGGTTTAGCTCAGTGGTGGAATGCTTGCCTAGCATGCCTGAGGTCAAGGGTTCAATCCCCAGCTCTGAAAAAAAAAAAGTCGATTTCTGAAAATATCCCCTTCCCACAGTAGAGACCTGTTTTCATGAATCACGTATCACATATATAGAAGAAGCTATATATTAGGTGTTAATGTCTACTCTAGTGATATAGAACTTAGATTATGTCCCAGAACTGCTTGATGAGTATATGGAATATGAACCAAAATTGTAGGCAACAAATTGTACCTTAAGAAGAGCATTGTTTATTTGGAATGTGAGATTGTTATTATATGTACTCATGGAATCACTAGAAAATAATCACTTAATAACATCCCATAGACTAAACTTTGTTTTGTTTTTTTTAAGTTACCCTACAGCTGGGCATGGTGGCACATGCCTACAATCCTAGCACTTGGGAGGCTGAGGCAGGAGGATAACCTCTAGTTCAAGGCCACCCTGGGCTACATAGTGAGTTCAAGGCCAGCCTAAACTACATACCAAGACCCCTGTCTCAAAAAAAAGAAAAAGAAAAAAGGGTTCCTATAGTAAGCTCTATTCTCTTGTTGCTCACTAAAACAAAGTAATGTATGTAAAAAGTGTAGAATTTGTGCTGGAGTATCAAATAGTTCATTTACTACTTTATACAGTGGTACCTCGGTTCACAAACACTTTTGTTTGTAAACAGTTTGGTTCACAAACAGAAGTGTTTGGCAAAATTTTTGTTTACAAACTGCATCAGGTGACAAACACAACCATGGCCATATTTCCCACACAAACACAAACATGCCCACCTTTTCCAAAAATGTACAACAAATTAAGTTTGTGAGCCGAGGTACCACTGTGTATATATACTATACATGATAAAAGTTAAATAGTAATAATAGATGTCTTAGTTATATACTAAGCATAGTACAAGTGTTTTAGATAAAAGGAAGAGCTTATACCAAGGACTGGAATTTTCTGGGAAGGCTTAGTAATAATATTTGAGAGTTAAATTGCCCCTTGAAAACATTGGTGGCATCTGAATAAGCTATATTAAGGACCTTTCTCAGAAACAAGAAAACTGATATGAGGCAAAGTACGATAGGTGAAGACTGTAGTCTGCTCCTTGCATCAGCCCCTCTTTCTCCAAGAATACATCTAAATTGAGGAGAGTCTTGAGTGCCAGTGTAAGAATTTATACTTCCAGACATGGGGGAGAGAGGGTCCTTGGAGGAATATCAGGCAAAAAGTTCTGATTGTATACCAGGGTGCCAGCTCTGAAAAATGAAAAACAAATACATGAAAAATTTTAAGAAAGAATCAGCCAAATGGAAAACTAAGAAAAATTGAAGGGTCCAGGCATATGGATAAGAAAAGGATTGTGCCCTTAACAGAACTAAGGAATTCAGGATGAAAAGCCAATTTTCCAGGACAGTGATAAGTTAGTAGCAAAGAATGAATTTGAGGTGACAGTTGAATGGAGATGTGTAGCAGATGAGCCAAAATGTGGGAGTAAAGCGGAAGCCTTGGTTGCAGATAGAAATCAGCAAAAGTGATGAGTCAAGTGTAGGAATCCAACTGATCTCTAATACAATAAAAATCAAGGGCTAAGTATGAAATCTTGGAGAGTTTTCTACATTTGGGAAAGAATTGCAAGGATCAAGGCAGTGGAGTGGGCCAAAGGCGTTAGACTGAAGCTAAAAATATGGGCTCAAGGTGGGAAAGGAAAAATTTTCAAAGATTTGCTACTGAACCACCTGTGCAAAGAAAACCAGGTAGACTGTTGGACTAAGCAAGTAAGCAGTTGACTTTTTGGTGTCATTTCAACAGAAAATTTAGTATTAAAGCTGCATCAAAGTAGGTTATAATGTGAATTACTAATAAAGAAATGCAAAACTTCAGTAAATATAGTAAATGGAAAGGAAATGATAAGGTAACTGCTTCAGTGAACTGTAAAGCACGGCTTTGAGAGCAAGTAAAGCATGTTTCCTTCGATTGAGTTTTCCCAGAGGATGAAATGTCCAATAAAGTAAATATGGGCTTTGTTAAACTAAGATCTCAAGTATTTAAGGAAAAAAATCACGAATGGACAGAAGTTAGTTGTTTAGATATTTATTAGATGCTATAATTCAATGAAACATTCCAGGATTGTTCTTTAATTTTACAGTTTAGAATGTCCAGATGGTTAGACTAGGGACTGCCATTTCTACAAGTAGACTTAAGAAATGTCAAGCCAATTATTTTATTTTCATTTTTCTCTTTTTTGGTGTTGGAAGATCTTTTACATCATTTAGTGATCATCTTTTCATCTAGGATTTGGCAGTTCCGAGTTTTCACTGAATCTTGGGCACTTCCTCTACCTTAATGGATCAGTTATGGGTTGACTTGGACTGTTACTCAAGTGAATGACTGTTCTTATTCTTCAGACACCTTTGGAAACTCCCCACATTCCTGAGGTTCTTAAGGTTATCACAAAGATGCCAACTCACACACTTACTTGCCAATTCATAAAGGACATATAATTAATATTTTTGGCGAAATGATCTATTTGGGTTATGTTCAGTTACTTTCAGGTCGTTCAGACCAATTGTACATGTTTATAACAAAATCTAAATATTTTTTCACCAAGCAAAAAAAATGTGGTATAAACTTTGTTCACTTCCAAATCTCTTTTTTTGTTTGTTTGTTTTTAATGGTACTGAGAATTGAACCCAGGGCCTTGCAAATGATACATTAGCACTTTACCAATGGCTACATCCCTGGACCTGTTTTGAATTTTTGAGACAAGAGCCTCACTAAGTTGCCCAAACTAGCCTCAAATTTGAGGATCCTCCTGTTTCAGCCTCTAAGTAGCTGGGATTATGGGCATGAGCCATCAAGCCCAGCTTCTAATTCATGCTTAAGGTGTAGTCACTCATACCTACCTCATGAATCAGAGCTCTTAGTAATATATAATTGGCCCTTGTTAACATACGCCATGCCTCCTCTCCCAGGTTTCCAGGTTTAATATATCCTCTTGGGCCGGGGATTCAGCTCAGTGGTTCCACCGCCTGCTTCGCAAGCACAAGGACCCGAGTTCGATCCCCAGTACCAAAAAAAAAAAAAAA